GAACACCCAACAAGCAAGATCCCAGGAGAAACACTTCTAGACACATTATAGTAAAAATGATAGATCTGAATAATAAGGAAACAATCCTACATGCAGCAAAAATGAAGAAGGAGCTATACTACAATGGGAAAAAAATTAGAATCACTGCAGATCTCTCCACATAAACAATGAATGCAAGAAAAGCCTGGGAAAGCACCATACGAGCCCTAAAAGCCAAAATAACTGCCAACCCAGACTGATATATCCAGCAAAGCTAGCATTCACATTCGATGGAGAACTGAAAACTTTTAATAGCAAAGAAAAACTAAATGAATACATAAACATTAAGCCAGCATTACAAAGAATTCTAAGAGGGGGGACACAACCTGAAGAAAGCAACCAGGAACTGGGACCTGCCCCAAACGGGCATTACTCAAAGTCTAACTGAGCAAGCACAGGAGGAAAGGAAAGAAGAAAAACTTAGGAAAATGGAATGGCAGGGACAACAATGCATCTCTCTATACTTTCTCTTAATATAAATGGGCTGAATTCGCCAATCAAAAGAAAACGAACTGAGAACTGGATCAGAAAACAAGACCCATCCATCTGTTGCCTTCAGGAGACCCACCTCTCAGCCAAACATACAAGCAAACTCAGAGTGAAGGGGTGGAAAAGGATCTACCAATCAAATGCCTCCAGTAAGAAAGCAGGTGTAGCTATCCTGATATCTGACAAAATAAACTTTTCATTAAAATCAGTACAAGGACAGACACTACATATTAATACAGGGAACAATCCAAGAGGAGGATATAACCATCATCAACTTATATGCCTCAAATATTGGTGCACCCAGATATGTTAAATGCTCTCAAACTTACAGAATAAAATAGATCCCAATACGATAATACTAGGAGACTTTAACACACCACTCTCACCAAAGGACAGGTCTACCAACCAGAGGATTGGCAAAGAAGCTACCGAATTAAGTGAGGCCATACTTCAAGCGGAATTAACTGACATCTACCGAGTATTTCACCCTAAAACAACACAGTACACATTCTTCTCAGCAGCTCATAGAACTTTCTCCAAAATAGACCATCTCATAGTTCATGCAAGGAACTTAAGCAAATACAAAGGGATCAACATAATGCCCTGTATCCTATCTGACCACAGTGGAATCAAGCTAGCTCTCAATAACAAAGCATACCACAGAAATTTCTCTAATACATGGAAATTGAACAGCACACTCCTTAACAATGCCTGGGTAACGGAAAAGATCAGAGAAGAAATAAAGCATTTCCTACAACTCAATGAAAATGAAAACACCTCACAAAGAAACTTGTGGGACACAGCAAAAGCAGTCCTGAGGGGCAAATTTATTGCCCTCAGTGCCCACATCAAGAGAATGGAGACAGACCAAGTAAATAATCTCATGTTGCAATTAAAACAGCTAGAAAAACAAGAAAAAATGGGACCTAAAGTTACTAGACGAAGCCAGATAACCAAATTGAGAGCAGAGATTAACCAATTAGAAAATCAGAAAACCATAGCCAAAATAAACCAAACAAAAAGCTGGTTCTTTGAAAAAATAAACAAAATTGATGGCCCTTTGGCTAGATTAATTAAAAAAAGAAGAGAGAAAACCCATATTAATAGGATTAGGGATGCCACGGGAAACATCACAACACGTACCCAAGATATCCAAACAATTCTAACAGACTACTTTCAAAAGCTATACTCTCTAAAGGAAGAAAATCTGGCTGAAATGGATGCATTTTTAGAGAAATACAAGTTGCCCAAACTGAGCAAAGAAGAAGTTAACCAATTAAATAAGCCAATATCCTATAACGAGATACAGGAAGCTATCAAAAGTCTTCCAACAAAAAAAAGCCCAGGATCAGATGGATTCACAGCGAAACAGAGAAGGAGGGAGCTATCCCAAACTCATTCTACGAAGCCAATATCACACTCATCCCCAAACCAGGCAAAGACCCAACCAAAAAGGAGAATTACAGGTCAATTTCCTTGATGAACACAGATGCAAAGATCCTTAACAAGATTCTAGCTAACAGAATCCAGAAACACATAAAAAAAATTATAAACTATGACCAGGTAGGCTTCATCCCAGAGACACAGGGATGGTTTAACATACGTAAGTCAATAAATGTAATCCAACATATCAACAGAGCCAAGGTCAAGAATCACATGATTATCACCACAGATGCAGAAAAGGCCTTTGATAAAATTCAACATTCATTCATGCTAAAAGCTCTGGAGAAAATAGGAATAAAAGGAACATTTCTAAAAACAATAAAAGCCATTTATGGCAGACCAATAGCCAATATTATACTTAATGGGGAAAAGCTACAACCAATTCTCCTAAAATCAGGAACAAGGCAAGGATGCCCACTATCTCCACTCCTCTTCAATATAGTCCTAGAACCCTTAGCCAGGGCAGTAAGGCAAGAAAAAGACATTAAAGGGATCTGCATAGGGAAAGAAGAAATTAAACTATCCCTTTTTGCAGACGACATGATACTATACCTTCACAATCCCAAAAACTCCATCCCCAAACTCTTAGAAATCATAAATCACTTTGGCAAAATAGCAGGATACAAAATAAACCCACAAAAATCAGTTGCCTTCCTATACACTGATAATGTACAAGAAGAGAGGGAAATAAAGGGAGCAACCCCATTCACAATAACCTCCCAAAAAATAAAATATTTAGGAATTAACCTAACCAAAGATGTAAAAGAACTATTTAATGAGAACTATAAAAAGTTAAAGAAAGAAATTGCAGAAGACACTAGGAAATGGAAAGACCTCCCATGCTCCTGGATAGGCCGACTTAATATAGTAAAGATGGTGATACTTCCAAAACTAATATACAAATTCAATGCAATTCCTATTAAAACCCCAATGACGTACATCACTGAAATACAGAAAACAGTCCAAAAATTCATATGGAACAACAAAAGACCTAGAATAGCCAAAACAATTCTAGGGGATAAAGACAATATGGGAGGGCTATCCATGCCGAACTTCAAACTCTACTACAGAGCTATAATAACAAAGACAGCATGGTACTGGCACAAAAACAGACCTGAAGACCAATGGAACAGAATAGAAGATCCAGAAATAAATCCACAGGCCTACAGCCAGCTGATATTCGACAAAGGAGCCAAAGACATACAATGGAAGAAACACAGCCTCTTCAACCGCTGGTGCTGGGAAAACTGGGCAGCCATATGCAGCCTATCACCATGCACCAACATTAACTCAAAATGGATTAAAGACCTTAACATTAAACCTGAATCTCTGAAACTACTGCAGGACAGAGTAGGAGAGACACTTGAACTAATAGGCACAGGAAGGAACTTCCTGAACAGAGTCCTAGGGTCACAACAAGTTGGAGAGAGACTCGACAAATGGGACTACCTTAAAATAAAAAGCTTCTGCACAGCTAATTCTATCGCAACTAAGCTAGAAAGACAACCAACTAATTGGGAAAAAATATTTACCAGCAATATATCAGACAAGGGGTTAACATCCTGTATATACAGGGAACTCAAGAAACTAATCCCTCCCAAACCTAACAAACCAATTACTAAATGGGCAAGGGAACTAAAGAGGGACTTCTCAAATGAAGAAATAAAAATGGCAAAGAAACACATGAGGAAATGTTCATCATCCCTGGTGGTGAAGGAAATGCAAATAAAGACAACCTTACCCCAGTCAGAATGTCCCACATCCACAAATCAGCCAACGACAAATGCTGGAGGGGATGTGGAGAAAGAGGAACCCTATTACACTGCTGGTGGGAACGTACACTTACACAACCACTTTGGAAAGCAGTCTGGAGGGTCCTTAGAAAGCTAAAGATTGACCTCCCTTACGACCCAGTCATACCACTTCTAGGCATCTACCCTGAACAACAGGAACCAATATACAAGGACACATGCACCTCCATGTTTATTGCAGCACTGTTCACAATAGCTAGGATATGGAAACAACCCAGATGCCCCACCACAGATGAATGGATCCAAAAATTGTGGTATCTATACACAATGGAATATTATGCAGCCATTAGAAATGACAAAATAATGGCATTTGCAGGAAAATGGATGGAGCTAGAAGGAATCATGTTGAGCAAGGTAAGCCAAGAACGAAGAGACAAACGGTACATGGTCTCCCTGATAAGTGGATGCTAAATCCAAAATGTTAGGTGATACGACAAAACTAACAGGACTTAAGAAACAAAGAACTCCCACTCATCTGGTTGAACCACTACTAAATATCCCCAGGCTGCTGATCACATATATGGTATATAACATGTGAACACCGTTATATGTTACAGACTGTGATAGACAATTTGCTCCAGGAAAGTTAGAATGAACTTGTGACTTTAAATGAGCATCATTATTCCACAATACTGTGAAATTCCGGAAATTATGTAATCACTTAATCACAAAAAAAAAGAACCTCGGGGAAGGGAGGGAGGGAGGGGATGGTAGGGGGAAAACAATGGAGGGGGTAACAATGTTCAAGAGGAAGTGTACTCATTACCTCACTCATGTAACCTCACTCATGTGTGTGTGTAACAACCTAACATTTCCAATGATTAAACTTCTTGCTTCAGATCCAGATCCAGAGCTGGAAGATGGTGCCAGTCCCTATGCTGGTTTCAGTTCTGGTTGGTTCCGGTTGGAGTTCAGGGGTTGCTTGAATAGAATGACTGGAGCTGGCCCTGCAGCTGCAAGAGGTATAGAGAAGATCCAGAACCCATATTGATGCCCTCTGACTTTCAGATCGAGCTCTGACCTGTTTGTCACCCCAGAAGTTGATGTCAGCCCTGACTGCATCCACAAAGTGATTGTCTGGTTAATTGCCACCACCCACAAAAACTTTCCCATAGGTTATACACACCCCTCTCCCCTTGTATCATCTTGCCTTGTGTGCATAGTAGGGCTGGCTTTTCTTTCCCTCAAACCCAAAGGACCTAGCTTAGTCACCCTCACCTGTGTCCTATGCCTCAGAATTTCCAGATGTTCCAGGTGAGTTTTTTATATAAACATTCAGGCCTTGTCTCCAGTTCGCTTTTCGTTCTAGAATATACCCTTGGCAGTCTTCAGTGAGCTCTGAGTCCTGGGCATTTGCATCCAGCTCTTCTGCCCACGCAGTTTTAGATTTCAAATGACAGCCTCTGTCATCTGCAGTCTGCTGTGGAGGCATGTCACAGAGTTCCTGAGGATAATCATGGGATAGAGTTGGCATCAGAGTGTGTCCCAAACAATTCTTTGATGTCCCCATCTGGGCACTGCACTGCTGCTGGGATTCCTTCCTCTATTAGCCAGGAGATCATGCCTGTCCCTTCCAGCCCAGTGGAAGTCATTCAGGTCCCAGGTCATAGAGGAGTTCCTGATAGAAGCTTCCTTAGTTGGTTCACCTTAATGCCCTCCCTTCTCTGCCAGTGGACACTGGCCTGCCTGTCAACTCCATCTTATGAGGAAATTGTGTGTGTGTACACACACTCTTGTGCATGTGGTTACCTACCTACTTGCCTGCCTGCCTTCTAGTACAGGGGCCTGAACTCAGTGTTTCATGGGCTCACCTGGCTTTTGTTTGTTTGTGTTTTGTGCTGCACCAGGGCCTTGGACTCATGGTCTGGGCAGCCCTTGAGTTTTTTTTGCTATACTTTGCAATGTTTTTCTTAAGTAGAGATAAAATTTTCATGGGCATTGCTGCTTCAGCTACCTTCGAACCGTGATCCTCAGCTCTCTTATCTTCTCAGTAGCTATTACAAACCTTACTCAGCTTTCTTGTTCAAGGGTGGTACCATGCTACTTGTGCCACACACTCTAGTTCCAGGTTTTTGCCTGTTAATTGGAGATCAGTTGCATGGCATTTTTTCCCCTGTGGTGGGTTCAACCTTGATACTCTAGTCTCAACCATGTGAGTTACCAGGATTACAGGCATGAGCCACCAATGCTAGGCTAGAACTTCACTTCTATACGAGACACAGAAAGATGCTCTTACCTCTTCATCAAGTTCTGGGTATTCCACACCGTCTTTTATGGGACCTGGGAAGAAATAGAGTAACTGTCAGTGTGTTGCTAGTCCACTGACTGAAAAGTGCTCAGGGAGCTTTTCTGGCTCAGGATATTGGCCCATGAAGCTAAGTGGTTGATGATCATAGACTAAGTTGTTGCTGTATTGTCTTCCTGCATGGAGAAGAGATGGAGAAGATGACCAGCAAAGAAATTTAACACAGAAACCCAAACCATGCATCTAATGACATCTGAACCCAAAATGGACAATCTAAAATTACATTATATATACAAAAATTTCCAATAGAAGCGTCTCCTCATTCTTTGTACACACTTTGAAACTCATCTCAAAGCTTGTTCAAATATTGAAAGGCAATTTCAGTTTTTGAGCATTCCATCATGGTCCTACCTATTCCAACATGGTCCTGTGTTTTAGAGGATTCCCAGTTAAACGCCATCAGCATGAACTGGACTCCATTTTAGTAAATTTCTTGTATCATATTTTATCACACCTTTTTGTCAAAATATGTCAAATATAGAAGATGAGGCAATATTAAAATAGAACAACATTTAACAATAAAATAAAATAGAACAACATAGCCAGGCACCAGTGGTACCTGTAATCAAAGCTACTCAGGAGTCTCAGATCTGAGGATCATGGTTTAAAGCAAACCTGGGCATGAAAGAAAGTCCATGAGACTCTTGTCTCCAACAAACTGCTCAGAAAAAGCAGTTATTGGTGTTATTGCTCAAGTGGTAGAGGGCTAGCCTTGAGGAAAGACGAGCTAAGGGACAGAACCCAGGCACTGAGTTCAAGCCCCAGGATTGACCAAAAACTTAAAAAAAAGAACAACTTAATATGACAACCTTTTTTTTTTTCAGTTTGTCATCCTCATAGTAATGTGTGCATACCACACCCTTACATTTCCCTGTGGTCAGGAGAAGCAGGCGACTTTGAGCCCCTCTTCCTGAAATTGTGTCCTTAACAACACAGAGCCTAGCTGGGTATCAGTGGCTCATGCCTGTAATCCTAGCTACTCAGGAAGCTGAGATCTGAGGATCATGGTTCAAAGCTAGCCTGGGCATGAAAGTCTGTGAGACTCATCTCCAATAAACCACCAGAAAAACAGAAGTAGTGCTGTGGCTCAAGTGGTAAAGCACTAACTGAAGAGCTGAAGGACAGTGCCCAGGCCCAGAGTCCAACCCCCATGACCAACAACAACAACAAAAATAAGAAGACAGAACCTTCCATCCCTACCTTAGCTTAGCTTCAGCTAAGAAACCTTACCCAGAACACATTTTAAAAAGGATACCAAGAAATCCACAAACCATTGTTTTCTGATGAAGGTTTGAGTATTTAAAGATCTAAGCGATGAAGTTTTTCTCTTTGATTTCTATGCAGTAAGGCAAACAAAATTAATTGGTTTTGAGCTGCAGCTGGAGATTCCCCTTATAATCCTAGCTACACAGGGGCTAAGATATGAGGATCACAGCTGAAAGCTAGCCTAGACAAAAATATCTGAAAGACTCCCTACATAACCAGCAAAATACTGGAAGTGAAGGACGCATGACTCAAGTGGTAAGACACCAGTTGTTTGAAAAAAAAAAAAAAGCTAAGCAAGAGCCTCAGAAAGGCCCTGAGATCCAACCCCAATATTGGTAAAGAGAGGAGGAAAGTTTAGTGGTTACTTGAACTGAGGGACACAGGATTGATTAGCAAGTATTATACCATGTCAGCCACATCTCCAGAATTTTTTGGCTTTGCCTTTTCTTGAGTAGGATTTTGCTCTGTGTGTGTGTGTGTGTGTGTGTGTGTGTGTGTGTGTGTGTGTGTGTGTGTGCGTGCGTGTGTGCATGCATGTATGCAAACATGCACTGGTCATGGCCCTACTGAATTGTGGTTCTCCTGTTTGTTTGGTTTTTCCTTTTTTTAAAATTTTATTTTATTTTATTTGTGAACATACTGTACAGAGGGGTTACAATTACATGGGCAAGGTAAGTGGTTCTCCTGTTTTCATGCCTCCTATGCAGCTGAATTCAGTAACACCTTGTCAGGCATTTTGCTAACTTTTGTGCATTGAGTTCCCTTCAGCTATGATTTCCCTCAATTTTTTTTCTTTTTTTTTATTGTGAAAATACCATACAGAGAAATTACAATTACATGGGCAAGATAATGAGTACATTTCTTATCAAGCTTTGTTGCCTCCTCCTTTGTTTCCCCTTCCCATCCCTTCCCATCTTCCTCCCCCATCCTCCCTTCCCCCCGCCCTCCCCATTGCCCATACCCCTCCTACCCCCCAAACCAAACTTGTAAAGTTCATTTTTTGACATAACATCTTGTACATCTCATTGTTGCAATGGGTGCATCTGTATCCTAGGATCACAAGCAGGAGCCAGTGTACCTGACCTAAGACATCAATTTTTAAGTATAAGCAGTATTTTCTTTGAATGGCATGTTAATACTATGTGACTTAACAGCTGTCATTCTAGAAATAGTATTACTTTTTGGTAACATGCAGTTAAAAACCAAGAATTTATTTAATGAAAAACCTAAGTAGTAGGATGAGTCAAGTAAGCCCAAATCCTTTAGGTTGACTACCAAGCTACATGGAAATATTGTTCAATCTAATACATATACATCTTTCTGCTTGCAACACACTATCCTTTGTAGAGAAAGAAGAAATAAACAAAATTTGAAGAATTGTCTAAAGACTAACATTCACATAATGGGACATGAAATGTTCTATCTATCACAAACTCAGTATGTACTATAAGATTCTTTGGTCATCTGACCAGTCAGTCTTTCTGCCCATTTTGAAGTCCATTATGTTGATAACTTCTTTATGTGCACACCAAAATGACTATCAGACCCACCAACGGGATGACTCCACTTATCATTTGAACAGGATTTACATCTCAAATAGCATTTATCAAGATCCTTGAATGGATTTTTTGGCAAAATATATGATCTACTAATGCTAGGTCTTGATATAATGTAATGAATTTTTGAAAATACTGGTCTCCTACAACTGAAAGTGTCCATAAATCTTATGATATCCTTTCTGGCACCTGTTTCTACTGCATGTGTTACATGTCCATGGAAGTGGTGGCTGCGCAGATCACACTATCTAGTAAAGAGTGACATAGCTCATCATCATAAAGTAGAGGCATGGGCTGGCTACCAATGCTCTAAAGTTTGGGTGTACAAGAGACTTTCCACCCAAATATGGAAATCATTCTAAAAACAACTTTTTAAGTCCTTGTTTATTACCTCTCTAGGATCTTCATCAAACATGATTTGAGCCTTTTATTGTTCATGGTGACAATATTCTAATTTGTGCTAAAATATTTGGTCAGATTTTATGTTTGAGTCCAGCTTCTTCTAAGATATGAATCAAGAGCTTACTGAATTTGGCCACACTGTCTTGCAAGGCCACTTGTACCTCAAAGAATATATGAATACGCCAGAAATATTAATGGTATATTATGGTATATTACATGCTTTGGGTGTCAAAGTTTGCATGTAAAAACTTCCTATTACCATCTTGGTTTATGTGACAAGGCAACTTGATATCCCTGGCAGACAGCATCTATGAGCTCCATAGGCTTGAAGGTAGTCAAGCACAGCTTGCTTACATGGGGATGCTATAAAAAAAAAAAAAACAGTCTCTGCAATGACTGAATCTTAACATCATTTTGGTAGTTGGCAGAAATGGCATTGGCTTACATAAACGAGCTCACGGGTTCTATTTCCTACATGAAGTTTTTTGAGAGCTTCGGTCATTCATTTGCTTGGGTTAGCTTCTCCCCTGGTTTGAGCAATGTTTGTGTGGGGGTGGGGGGAGAACAAATTTAACTTGTTGCTTCTTAAGAGGAGTAGGTGACTTCATATATAGAAAGTCTGAAGTGTGTCTTTATGATGGATTTTGTGTCTCAGGAAGTTATTGAGGGCTATTATTTGCTTAGGTGTAAGGTGGAAGTAGGTTCTAAGAAAATACATACCTCATACAGATGCACAGTCACACATCCATTCAGTCAGGAAACACAGAATCCCAGAAAATCCCAGCAATCTCAAAGTACACAAGCCCTTCATGAACAAGATTTCTTCCAGAAACTTGACCAGGAGAAACTTGACAGCCAACTTTTATCCAACACTTGTATTATATTAGTTCTCTTCAGAAACTCAAAATCAGGATGGCTTTGCAAAACAGAAATCAGTTGGTCTATCACACTTAGCCTTACTTAACATCTGATTTTTCTTCCTTAACATGGTAGTAACTGTAGAGCACTTACTTGCTTTGTGGAACCGGGATGCCATCTGAAATGATAGGAATATAGATATTAGCAGGATGACTTACATTTTTATTTAGACATATTTGCACATGCTCTTAGTACTCTGACTATTGGAAAGATATGAGAAATCATAGCAAAGTCAAAAGGATCTCAAAATCAGGGGTAAGGTAATTGTATAGAGAACCCCAAAAGTCTTTTGTAGAGGATGTATATCACAACTCCATTTAGGTCATCCACCAGTCATCAAATACTTAATCCAAACAAGAATCATTTCCAAAAGAGATCACTTGCGTGAAGATTTTAATGCAATACTACCACCTGCAAATGTCTGTCTGCAACAGATAGTATTTGTTAAGGGTCTACACTTCTACCACACCAGAAGAAAAATCTGGTATGAATAGTGGACACTGTGGAGGTTTGCTGAGACTGGTGTTACTGTGGTGGGTGAATGAGCTCAGTCCAAATACTCATTACACTAGCGCCCTACCACTTAAGCCATGCTTCTGAATCCTTTTTTGGCTTTCTTTAATTGGTCTTGCTTTGGGGCTGGATTAATGTTGTGTACTGTGATTTTCTTATTCATGCTTTTCGAGTGGCTGAGATGGCAAGTGTGCACTGTCACACCAGGTGTTTTATTGGTTGAAGTGGGTCTCATGGACCCAGGCTCAGGCTGCCTTGAAAGGGCAATCTTCCCCCTCTAAGCCTCCTGAGTAGTAAGACTGCAGGCATGAGTCACTGCAAATCAAATGTGTTTTCATAGCTAAACCTAATTTAAAAACAGATAATAAACAAAGCAACATTCAATTTCAGGCAAAAAAAGGTTGTCTTACTAATTCTGTGGAAGCCTCAACAGGCACATTTGGGGCATCTAGAAATAAAACAAAGAATTTTAGGTTAATCTTTAATTAAATATGACTTGGTAGTTTCTCAATCAAATCAAGTTGACAACCAGGACTAATGAGCATAGGTAGCCTGGATAGAGACATACCCCTTTTCACCCATCTTTCCAAAGAACCAGATGGTAAGTTTCATTGTTTTTGTAACAATTACCTTTTATTTAAAAGGTTCAGAGGCTTTCAGGACTGTTTAAATTACTTAAGAGTTTCTCTTGTATTACTTTCCTTACCACTTCCTAAACATTTTAATTACCAATTTCGAATCACACACACACACACACACAAACACAGACAGACACACACACACACACACACACACACACAAATTTCCTTTCTCTAAGTTACTTTGTAAGCATTGCTTGCGTTTCACAAATTTATTCTACTGGAATTTTTACTTCCTTTAACTCAGAAATCTATGAATATCAATGGAGACTTCTTTGTTCCAAGAGAATTCAAAAGCAGGCATGTGACAAAATTATTCCTCCTATACATCGGTCACGTGACTACTGATATCTCCTTGAAATAAAACAACTAATGATTGTGCTGAAAATGTCTTTTTCATTTTGGTAGTACTAACATTTGAGCTCAAAGCTTTGTGCTTATGAAGCAGGTACTCTCCCAGCCAGTTCTGCATCCCCTCGGTGTTCCATACTACTGTCCAGAAAGAGTAAGTACTCAGCCTTTTTCATGGGACTCTTTTTGTGGTGAGAAACAGCATCGCCTCTTGGATTTAGTATTTAGAAATTTATCTGAGGCTCCATTCCTACCTGTGCAAAGCCTCATTATCAATGCAGGTAAGATACTAAGACATCCCAGGGTTTTTTCCTGATCTTACAGCCTATGTATGTGGATAGCCCATGCAAGAGTGCATTGCTCACTACGTACTCAGTATTTCCTTCAACATTTGTCCCATCACCTTATATAATCCCAAGAGAAACACTGCATATGACTTTTTACACCAAATGTCTGTAAGACAATACTGTCTTCACTATGGAAGTTGGCTTTACTTCACATATACACCACTGTGCATATAGAAATATCAGACAGACAGAGTGATACCTTGCATGAAAAGAGGCACTGAGGGAGCTGCATTCCTGTCATATTTCCCTTCCCATGGCTTCCACGTCTTCACCATAAATATTGTCTCTCTCTTTTTATATTTGTTTCTTTTTTTGCTGGTCCTGGTGACTGTCCCTGAGCATTTCGTGCTCAAACCTAGTACACTACCGCTTGAGCTGCAACTCCACTTCCAGCTTTTCAGTAGTTTATTGGAGATGATACATTATACAGGTCTCTGGACATTCACAAATGTGAAAGACCAAAAGAAGTATGTTCTCAGGAAAGGAACACAAAGGTATACCATTACAATAACAGTTTTTAAAATGCATCTGCCCTGAGGTGAGATGTGAGAATGACATTCATGATCAAACTCGGCTTGTAGCAGTACTGATTAGGTCAATGAAAGCTTTCACTGATTAAAAATTCTCCTGCAAGTTTTCAGTTTCCTCTCTCTCTACTGGCAACAGTATGTCACATAATTCTTGTCTCTGACTCAAGCTAATGATTAAATTTCCATAGCACCTTTCAGGATGTCTGGTGTTGACAGCACCACGGGGAGTAGACAGACTTCATTTGGGGTTCCTGGTGCCACCTTTGAAGATCTTTGGATCTCATCAATCTTGAAGGTTACTAAGGAAGATAGTTGCAGATAATGGTGTAATAAATCAGCTTCACAACAGAAAACCAAAAGAAAATAAATTAGGCAGAATTTATACTTCTCATGTATGGTTTCCCATTTTTCTACAGCACAATCCATGCCTGTAAGATGGGGGCTCCAGAGGTTCATGGTTACTGGGTTGTGGTCCCTTTTTCCTTTCATCCATCACTCCACACACACTTTCAAACTGGGTTTCAGCTCTGCTAATTACTCAAAGGGTCTATTCCATGGAGTTTCACTCCTCCATCTAATATTATACATTCTTACCTAGTCTTCAGGCAGTGATTCCAGAATACTCACCGAATTTTTTCTTCCTTTTCTTTCGCAGCTCTTGCTAATAGGGAAAAAAGAGACTCACAAGGTACAGCTCATGGCGAGTTCTGTTTGCACAGCAATTTGGTTCTCCTGGTAACTTTTCTTTGTGTCTGTGTGCCAGTCCCAAAGCTTGGACTCAGGTCTCCTGAGGTTCTGGCTAAAGGCTGGCACAGTCCGCCTATCCCTCCCTGAGCACCCCCCACCCCTAAGTTCTGGCTTCTTGCTATGTAACTGGAGCTAATTCAGAGCTTGGAGGACTTTCCTGCAGAAGCTGGCTCAAACCTCAATCTTCAGATCTCAGCCTTCTGAGCAGCTAGCTAGGATAACATGTATGAGCCATGAGGACTGAACGCCCCTTGTGACCTGAAGTAAATGAGACTTTGGGACACAGTGGTTAAGACAAAAAATCAAATTACTTTGTTAGGCTTTCCTCTCAGGAAGATGGCCGATTTATAACATATATTTCTCACCATCTTGCTGATTCAGAGTTAAGAATCAGAGTTCCCCCTCTGTTTAGCCTCCAATGAGATTTCCCTAGTTACCAGCCCACCTAGTGAGAACTAACATACCTGACCAGGTACAGGGCATGACTACCATTAATCCCTTCTGAGAGGAGGTGTGTCTTATCTCCTTATCTACTAAAGTGGACCTGGTGATTTCCAAGTTTCCCACTTCTTCAACACCTCTCTATCCTGTGTTAGGAAGCTTTCAGCACACCACCCTTGGAAGAATACAGTCAAACCATGCCCCAACCACAAAAACCCTGGAAGCAATCACAGGCCACACAAGTTTTTTACTGTTGTGTTGAGTAGTTGAGTGGAAATTATAAAATTACACTTAAACCTAAGTGCAACAATTTCTCCAGATATAAGGTCCTAGTGTGTTTTTTATAACCTAATGTTTCCAATTATTAAAATTCCTCCCTCAGATTTGTTGATAAGATTCTATCTCTGTTTCATTTTTCATAACTGGTATTATTTTTATGTGGTGGCATTAAGAAACTTAAAGAGAAAAACAAAAGTACCATTTATATTTCAAAGTACAGTTATCTTACCTCCACAGGCTGGTTGGTCAATTTTTCATCACATGAATCTAGAAGGACACAAAATAATGCTTAGCTCATTGCAGATTATTTCTCATTAATGTCTCAGAGAACTTAGTGTGTTGTGGAGGAAGGTTTGCATGACGACTCTATAGGGCCCAACTCTATAGGGCTATGGTTGACCAACAACCACAGGTTGAACTGCAAAAGCTGCAGAAGCAAAGGAACAATAAAGAACAGGGCTTCTAGCTTTCCAAAGAAGTCCAACTACTCTAAGCAATGTAAAGCAACATATCTTTCATGGAGTCAAAACTTAAATTGACCTGAAAATTAAATGACTAAATCTTGTCTCTTCTTCAGACCATTTTGATGGTAGGTAGAACTGACACAGCCTTGACATCTATCAACCTTTCAATTTCAATCAGGAATTGCTTCTGGTTGAAATTGGCTTGATATATATCGAAGTCCATATATGCAAATCTGTATTTATTATATTGAATTTGCCTCAGGTGCTGTTTACATTTAACTTGTGTAGTGGGTAGAACAAAGTATAGGTACATGTACCCATTTACCCTCTGTTATAGAAGCAGTACTTAAGAGTTTTTTCACTGTCATAATGTTATTTTCTTAAATAACTACTCTATAAAGTCTCTATAAATCATACGCAATGTTCATGCCTGTACTCTAAAAAGTCTAGATCCAGCTGGGCTAGAGAATCTTCCTCAGTGGAAGATATATTCTACTCAGTGGAAGAAAAAAAATTAAATAAGGAGCAGGAAAGAAATGAGAAGCAATACAGCAATAAGACAAGATGCAAACATAAAGGGGATCCAAATAGGGAAAGAAGAAGTAAAACTCTCCCTCTTTGCAGATGACATGATCTTGTATTTAAAGAATCCCATAGACTCCACTCCCAAATTACTCAAGCTGATTCAAAACTTTGGCAAAGTAGCAGGGTATAAAATTAACCCCCCAAAATCAATGGTTTTTCTGGATGCCAACATTGAGAAAAGTATGGCTTAAATTAGGAAAGCAACTCCACATGTAATAGCCCCACAAAATATAAAATACCTAGGAATTAACTTAACCAAAGAAGTAAAGGAACTCTATGATGAAAACTTTAAAAACTTGAAATAGGATATCAAAACAGAACATAGAAAAATAGTAAAAACTCCCTTGCTCCTGGATTGGAAAGATCAACATTGTGAAAATGGCAATACTTCCCAAGGCTATCTACAAATTCAATGCGATACCTATCAAAATTCCAACCTCATTCTTCAAGGAAATAGAAGAGGCAATCCAAAAATTCATATGGAACAATAAAAGACCCTGAATAGCAAAAACGCTCCTCAACGGAAAGAACACTGCTGGAAGAATATCAATACCAAATTTCAAGCTCTACTATACAGCTGGGTATGGGCACAAGAACAGACCTCCAGACCAATGGAATAGAATTGAAAACCCACAAATGAACCTACAGACTTATAGTCATCTAATCTTCGATAAGGGAGCTAAAACAATAGAATGGAACAAAGACAGCCTCTTCAGTAAATGGTGCTGGCAAAATTGGTTAACTATTTGTAGAAAACTAAAGCTAGATCCTTATATATCACCCTGCACCAGAATCAACTCCAAATGGATCAAAGACCTCAGAGTCAAAGCTGACACTCTGAAAACATTAAAGGATAGAATAAGAGAAACCCTAGGTCTCCTTGGCACAGGCCAAAATTTTCTTAATAGAGACCCAGAAACACAACAAATCAAAGAAAGGTTGGACAAATAGGATTGCATGAAGTTGCAGAACTTCTGCATGGCAAAGGACATAGCTAGCAAAATCAATAGAAAGCCTATGGATTGGGAGAAGATCTTCACTAGCCATACAATGGACAAGGGTCTCATATCTAAAATATACTTGGAACTCAAAAAATTAAATCCCCTAACAACAAATCTTCAAAGAAACAACTGTCCAGTAAATAAGTGGGCTAAAGACTTAAAGAGAAACTTCTCTGAAGAGGAAAGAAGGATGGCCAATAGACACAAGAAGAAATGCTCTACCTCCCTAGCCATAAAAGAAATGCAAATCAAAACAACATTAAGATACCACCTCACCCCAGTTAGAATGGCAAAAATCAAGAACTCTAATAACAACAGATGCTGGGGGGGATGTAGACAGAAGGGAACCTTACTTCGTTGTTGGTGGGAATGTAAACTTGTTCAACCACTTTGGAAAGCAGTATGGAGGTTCCTCAAAAGACTCCACATAGAGCTCCCCTATGACCCAGCAATCCCACTTTTGGGCATTTACCCAAATGTTTACAAACAAGACCACACTAAAGATACCAGCACAACTATGATTATTGCAGCATTACTTACTATAGCTAAGAAATGGAACCAACCCAGATGGCCCTCAGTAGATGAATGGATCAAGAAAATGTGGTATATATACACAATGGAATTCTATGCCTCCATCAGAAAGAATGACATTGCCCCATTTGTTAGGAAATGGAAAGACTTGGAAAAAATTATATTAAGTGAAGTAAACCAAGCCCAAAGAAACACAGGTCCCATGGTTTCCCTTATTTGCAATATCTAGTATATGTCTAAGTCAAGCAGAAAAGGTCAGATAAGGTGATGTTAGGGAAATGAACCCTAAGATATGTATTCAAATGTTTTTTTTTCTTTCATGGGATTGTTTCTAACGCATTTATAAGATTATTTCTTTGTTGCTTTGTATGTCCCTTACCCATACTAAACCCATGCTTTCACTGTATTTGATGTTGGTATAATTTGTGGAGGGGAAGGGGAAAAACAAATTGTTTAAATAAGGATACAGGTGGACCCATTGCAACAATGAGAAGTAAAAGTCGTTATGTCAAAAACGAACTTTACAACTTTTTGGGGGGGTTAAGTAGGGGGGATTAGGTGGGGGAGCGGGGGAGGTTTGGAAGGGATGGGAAAGGGAAACAAAAGAGGAGGCTACAATGGTTGATAAGAAATGTACTCATTATCTTGCCCATGTAATTGTAACCCTCTGTACAGTATTTCCACAATAAAAAATAAATAAAAATTTAAGAAAAAAGGAATGAGAAGCAATGTCTTCACATTGTGCTAATGGTAATGTAAGGAAACAAGTCAAGCCTGCAAACGCTCCCAGAGTCCCATCACTCAGAATGCTTACTTAGATGCTCAGACACATGATGTTCTAAAACACATGAAATACTTCTTGCATAATTTATACCAAATTGCATCTAATACAAGGAACTCTGTAGTAGATTTTGGCACAAAACTCTTCTGGAACTTGATGTCTGGAACTGAAGGTAGAAGAATCTATCTTCTGATTTTGCTTTGCCAAAGCTTCTGTTCTCCACAACACCTCTAACTATTTCAACATTGTAAAAATAGTATTGAATCTGTTTACTCCATTTAGGAATAAATGTTAAAGAAATTAAATATTAAAATAAACAATAAATTCCATTAAAGAAAAGAAATGGCTGAATCTCAGTAACAGCAACAAGAATTCTGGCATTTTAACCCATGCTAGTTCAGCATGGTCCTCCACAATCGGTTTCTGTGGTCAGCTGAAAAGCAGCAGATATATTCATGGTGTACATTCTGAAGCCACGAGACAGGGAGTATAACTGGGATGCAACTCCCCCAATTCCTCTTTCCATGGTAAACATGGTCATTTTTTCAGCCTGATAGAGCTGTATGTATGTCTGTTTTCAAATAAGTCCAACTTCCTCAGTGAAGAAGCACTTTCTTATAGACGTGTGATGTAAAACATTACATGCAAGTGTTTCTCTTGGGGTTACATAAGTCGAGAGGTAAATATTAGAACATATATCAAGTAAAAAGTGAGAAATGACCTTTCAGGCATCTAAAAGGCACACTCCTGTGTACAGCTACCTACATACACAGGGCTCTGATAGTGATCAGAGAAGATCCTGGGGATGCCCTAGTCTCTCACCTGCAATTGATATTGAGGATTTGCTCAAATAGGAAGGAGAGCCTCAGGTAAATTTCTAAACACCAAGGCCAAAAAGTGATGCTGCTTCTCAACACAAAAGCAAAGAGTCCTGAAAAATGCTAAGATGCTTACTGGTTTTACATGGGAAAAGAAAACAAGGGGGATTATAAGTATGGCTCATGTGCTAAATATAGGATGCCTGCTTCTCAAGCACCAAACCCTGAGTTCAAACTGTACTACTGCCCAGCTATAAACAACTTAATTTGTAAAAAGGAAGAAACTTCAGTGCAATTATTGTTATCTACTGTAAAAAGACATTAGTCATCACAGTGACATATAATCAATGACTTTGTGGAACTTGTCCAGCAAAGTAGGGGAAAAAATTAACTAAAATGTAGAGTAACTACAATAAGAGTAACAATCTTGAGGTTTCTAGAGAATGAGTTTGTCACACGTCCACTTTTGAATTCCTGTGGAACAAACAAGAACCTCAACTGGCATTTCTAAAACTCCTATAAAATTCCAGTAGAATAAATTGCTGACACAAGGAAAGAATGCTTACAAAGAATGGAAGCAACATATTATAAAATGACTACTGAAATTAATAATTGAAGGCTTTAATTAGGTCTGGATTAAAAGGCAATCCAACAAAAATTCACAAAGTAGTTTTTTAAAACCGTAAAATTCTCAGAAGTTCTCTCAAATTTTTAATGCAACATAATTATTACAAAAGCAATGAAACCAAAATCTGGTTCTTTGAGAAGACCAGTAAAACTGGCATGTCCCTATAATGGCTACATGATGATTAGTCTTAGTCGTGGGTTATCAACTTGATACAATGAGAAACAATCACTGCATGACTAGCATGCTTCAGAATATGCCTATCAAGATGTTTCAAGAAAGAATTGAGGCATCAGGACTTTGACCTTATGAGTAGATCGCTCCCTTGGTGGGATTCAAAATAGGTAGGGCTAGTGGACGACGGTGAACAGTACGAAAAAGGCCCTAGGAGGAGGAAGGAGGTCACTACGGGTGAAATTAATGAATGAATAATAAGTGAATGGGGACAGCTCTGCTGACCCATGGATATGGAAAGCACACACAGAACATTGTGAACAATTTTATGCCTGATCAATGAAATATACAAATCTTGAGATTTTTACCTTCCAAGGCACAGACAAGACAATTGGAATTACATCATACCTACTAAGTAAGTTAAAGCCGTCTTCGTAACATTAAAGAAAGTGCTAGGTGATGATAATCAAGTTAGTGGAATCACCAAATTCTCAAACGTTAAAACATACATTAGCCATGCGATGAAAAACTGTGTTCCTTAGATATTTTTATCCCATTGAGATAAAAAGTTAAATCTACATGAACTGTCCCACAGGAATGGACCCATAGGCTTTACCTATAGACATAAACTGGAAGAAAACATGATGGCCTTCACAAGGTGGATGGAGTGGACATTTTCATTTCTTCATATAGTGCAATATCATTCCATGTTGAAAGAAATAAGCTCTCTGTGGTCAAAAGGGCATGAAGCAACCATAAATGAACATTGATTTGTGACACCGGTTATGTAGAAAAAGTTACATAACCTGAAATTTCATTTATATAACGTACAAATTGTAGATACCAAGGTGAGTACACATGAGAATCTGGTGGATACCTCACTGATGTGGATATTAACTTATACTTCTACAAAAAGGAAAAACAGCTAAATTACAAGAATTATCGAATCTGTCAAGGTTCAGTACAATACTTGGGTAAGTTACAGACATAAGCTGATCTCTAGCCATAAAGGAAATGCAAATCAAAACAACACTGAGATTCCACCTCACCCCAGTTAGAATGGCCATTATCAAGAATACTAACAGTAACAAATGGTGGATATGTCCAAAGGGGAAGAAACCCTATTATACTGTTGGTGGGAATGTAAACTTGTTCAATGACTCTGGAAAGTAGTATGGGGATTCCTCAAAAGACTACACATAGAGCTTCTCTATGGCCCCAGCAATTACACTCTTGTGCATTTATCCAGTAGAACACAAACAAGGCCATATTAAATCTACCAGCACAACCAGGTCCATTGCAGCATTATTTACCATACCCAGTATATGGAATCAGCCTAGATGCCCCTTGATAGATGAATGGATCAAGAAAATGTGGTACATACACACAATGGAATTAAACCCATCCATCAGGAAGAATGATATTGTACCATTCATAAGGAAATGGGGGAAAAATCATATTAAGCAAAGCCAGACCCGGAAAAACACAGGTTGCATGGTTTCTCTCATTTGTGGTAGCTAGAATGTCCCTATAACTCTGTAAGTAAACACACTGATGGTTTCAAAAAATAAAAACACTGGGACATTATATAGGTCTTTAGGTATTCACACACAGTGAGACCAAAGGAAAGAAAGACAAAGGCACAATACCCATGTGCATCTGATCATGCAAAATAATACTTATTGAAATGACCTCCATGAAATGGAAATAAGGGTTTTTGTCCTTTATTGCTGTTATTGTTTTCTTCTTTTTGTCTTCTTTGTTGGTTTCTCTCTCTTTGGGATGGTAAGGAGGGGCCATAGAAATGGTGGGATAAATATGAGCAAATGTAGCAGTGGTCATCTCTAGACAATATGTTGAAAACTAACTATACAACTTGTGGGTGGGCATGGGAGGGAAAAACTGGGAGAGAGTGAGAGAAGGGGTAACACTGTTCAAAAAGAAATGTACTATTTATCTGGTTTATGCTACTATAACCCTTCTTTTTTCTGATTGAATTTTTTAATACTTTTTGTTGTAAAAATACTGTACAGAGGGGTCACAGTTACATGAGGAAGGCAATGAGTACATTTCCTATCAAGCACTGTTACCTCCTCCTTTGTTTTTCCCCTACAATCCCTTCCTTCCCACCTCCACAACTAACTCTCCTCGCCCCACCCCCAGACCCCACCCCCACTGCCTGAATTGTAAAGTTCATTTTTCAACATAGTGTCCTGTACATCTCATTGCTACAGTGGGTCTTATATCACCTTTTAATAACCATTTTTTAAATGCTGTTGCCATGAAGTGAGATGTAAGAATGACATTCATGATAAAACTCTGCTTGTAGCAGTACTGATTAAGTCAATGAAAACTTTCACTGATTGAAAATTTTGATGGAAATATTCAGTCTTTCTCTCTCTAGTGGTAACAGGTATCACATAATTCTTGTCCCTGACTCAAGAATTCCCACAGTACCTTTTAGTATGCCTGGTTTTGACAGCACCATGTGAGGTGGACAGACTTCATCTGGGATTTTTGATGCCACTTTTGAAGGTCTGCGAATCACACCTAACATGAAAGTTACTAAGGAAGATATTTACAGAAAATGTTGTAATAAATCAGCTTCACCACAGAAAACCAAATCAAAGTAAGTAATGCGGAACTTAAACTTCTGATATGTGGTTTCCCTCTTTTGCAAAGTAGAGCCCATACATGGAAGACTGGGGTTCTAGAAGTTCATGGTTACTATGTTGTGTTCCCTTTTCCCTTCATCCACCAATCTAAGCACACTAGCTCCTCCCACCCTTTAAAAACTGGGTTTCAGCTCGGCTAATTATTCAGAGTCTACTTCATGGAGTTTCACTCCTGCATCCATTATACATTCTTTATCTAGGGGCTATGTCTTCAGGCAGTGATTCCAGAATACTTACCAAATTTCTTCTTATTTTCCTTCTTCTTCGTTTGTACCTCCTGCTGTTGAGGGACAGGGGGGAGACACTCACAATGTACAGCTCTTGGCAAGTTCTTTTTGCACAGATATTTGGTTCTCCTGGTAGTATGGTGTGTGTGTGTGTGTGTGTGTGTGTGTGTGTGTGTGTGTGTGTGTGTGTGTGTGTGTGTGTGTGTGTGTGTGTGTGTGCGCGCGCGCGCGCGCGCGCACGCGCGCAAGTCCCAGAGCTTGAACTTAGTCCTGACACTGTCCCTTGAGCTTTATGGCTGAAGGCTGGCACTTTTACCACTTGAGCCACACCCCCAGTTCTGGTTTCTTGCTAGTTAATTGGAGATAATTCAGAGTCTGGGGGACTTTTTTGTGCAAGCCAACTCAAACTTCAATCCTCAGATTAAGATAGGATTGCATAAGCCACAGGGCCTGAGCTGCCTTGGTGACTTGAAGTAGGATAGACCTCAGGAAAGAAGTCAAAGGACCTATATTCCTTTGCTATGATTTGCCCTCATGAAAATGTCAGCAGGTGGCCACTTTATAATAAGAGTATATTTTCATCATTTTGCTGATTCAGAATTCAGGATCAGTTTTCCCTACTTACCCTTATAATAGGGTTAAGAAAATAGGAGCTAACAGTTCCATGGACAAGTGCCTGAGCATATGTGGTAGCCTTGCTTTATAACAGCCCCTCTTGTGAGAACTAATGTATCTGGCAAAACCATCCTCAATCCCTGAACTTTTGACCTCATCATCTCTCTATGCTGGGTTAGGAATCTTCCAACGTACCACCCTCTGAAGGAACATGGTCAAACCATACACAAAACACGGAGGCCCCCAAGCAGAGAACAATTACGGAAAGCACACAAGTCTTCAGGATTTTTGAGTCAAGCCTCACCTCCACTTCCAGCTTTTTTTCTGGTTAACTGAAGGTAAGTGTTTTCACAGCCAGCCTAAGCTAGCTTCAGACACCAATACTATCAGCCATTTTGGATTTGCTAGGATTATAGGCATGAGCCACCCATTCCAGCCTGGAATTTCATTTGTGTGTAAGAAACAAAAAAAAGTGCACTTACTTCCTCAAAATCCTGGTTTTTTGCGCCATATTTTGTGGGACCTAGGAAGAAATAGAGCAGCTGGCAGTATTTTGGTAATTGGTGATGCAAATCACTCAGGAAACATTTCTGACTGTGGATGTGGGATGGGACGTGTGGGTGGTTGACAAGGATAGATTGAGTTGTTCCTGACCCATTCTTCTGCTTAGAGGAAGGATAGCCATGAAAATATGTAGACATTCAAAAATATGACACTACTACCAACAAAAACCCCACATGTAATCTGTTGTTCTGATTCCTTTCTTTCCTGTCAGTCTTCCACATAGAGGGTCTACCACTGCACTGGGTTCATCTCACACGGCTTCCCACCTGGGATGCTAGCACCTACCTGAGCGGTCTCTGTCATCATTCCTCAAGCTCAGATACTTGTCCGAGACCAAAAGTGGTCCTGCATCTGGAGAAAAATCAGTAGAGACTATGGCTTGGCCCATCCTGACTCTAAGCAGGCAAATCCCTGCTGGCGTACAGAACATCAGCCTTATCTTTCCTTCAGTTTACAGATTTTCCCAAAAACCTCCATGTTCATAGCCTTACTGCCAAAATCATTTCTTTCGCTCAACTCCAACCTTCCTGATCAATGAGAACCCAGAATCAGGCTTGTAGACATAAGCCAGTAAGGTATTCCATCAGCAAGTGCATGAATACATACCACTACCACATGGAGCTTCGGATATCTGCAATTACAAAAATGAAAAAGTAAAAACCTGTGAAGATCACATCAGGCTGGATGCTTTACACTTTACATGGATTTTCTCCTCAATACTTAGAAAACCAAACAGAAAACAACTGTTTAGTCAATGGCCATGTGCCCCACACAGCCATGGGGTAGTATACTTGTGGCAAGGGGATGAGCTTTTCCTGAGAGTATATTTCTCAAAATCCATTAAGATATTCAAATGTATAATCCTTAATTCAAGGAGGAAAATCTGCGTGGTCAAAAGTACTTCTGAAAGCGATTTCAATTGTCCTAGAGTCAGGTATCCACAGAGAGGAGATTTTCACTCAACTACATCTCTCTAAAGGAATTACCACTTTCAAAGATTGATGTCCATCCATGGTTGGACTTTCATATCTATTTTGGTTGAAAAGAGAACTTTATTTTTGGTGTGTCTGTGGTCTGTAAATGTGCCAGCACTGGGGCTTGTACTCAAGACCTTAGGTTTGCATGTATGTGTGTGTGTGTGTGTGTGTGTGTGTGTGTGTGTGCGCGTCTGTGTCTGTGTGTCTGTGTGTCTGTGTCTGTGTGACTGGAGGTGGAACTCTGGACCTGGGTGCAGTTTTGCTCATGGCTAGTATGCTACCACTTGAGTCACACTTCCACTTCTAGCATGTTTTTGGTAGTTAATTGGAGATAGAGTTTCACAGGCTTTCTTGCCCAGTCTGGCTTCAAACCACAATTTTTTCAGATCTCAGCAGCCTTCTGATCAGCTAGGATTATAGGCTTGAGCCACCCTGCTGGGCTCACTTAGCTTTTTTATTCAAAGCTGGCACTCTGCCACTAAAGCCACACCTCCACTTTCAGCCATTTCCTGGTTAACTGGAGATAAATGTTTCACAGAGTTTTTTTCTGCCCAGGCTTGCTTTGAACCATAATCCTCAGATCTCAGCCTCACAAGTAGCTAAGATTGATTATAGGCATGAGCCACCCAATTCTAGGCTACAACTTCCTTCCTATAAAAGACTCAGAAAAGTTCTTACCTTATCACATCCCTGATATTCTACACTTTCCTTTGTGAGACCTGGAAGAAACAAACGATTGTCAGTATGTTGGTAATTGGTGATTGCAGATCACTGGAGGAGTTTTCTGACTATAGATGTGGGACTGGACCTATGGAGGTGGGTGGTTAATGAGCATAGACTGAGTTGTTGCTGGGTCATCCTCTTGCATAGAAGGATGGCCACAAACATATGTAAACATTCAAAAGTAACAACAGAAATTCCACATAGAATCTGCTGTCCTGATGTGATTTCTTTCCTTCCTGTCTTCCACACAGAGGATCTAACTTGACTGCTCCTGGGTCCATCTCACATTGCCTCCCACCTGGAATACTGATTCCTACCTGTGAAATCGACCCTGGTAAAATTCAGGTACTCATCTACATGTTCGAGGGAGGGTATATCTGGAGAAAAATCAGTGGAGATTGTGGCCTATCTATTCCTGCCTGTACCAGGTGATGATATGCTGGTTCACAGAAGATCGACCTCATCTTTCCTTCAATTTACAGACTTTCCCATGAACATTTGTGTTCATAGCTCTTGTAGCAAAATCACGTTCCAGCTTCTTCAACTTCAACTTCTATGCTATATTAGGAAGCTTCCAACACATACCCTTTGAGGAACTCCAACCCTCTGGGTCATCAAGAACCCAGAATCAGGAAGTGGAGCAGTGGTTCAAGTGGTAGAGCACTACCTAGTCAATGCTTAGGCCCTGAGATGAAGCCCCAGGACTGACACAAAAGAGAAAAAAAAGAAAGAAAAAGAAAACAATTAGGGTTGTATATATAAACTAGTAAGGTATTACATCAGCAAATAGATGAATACATACCACTACCACTCGGAGAAGCTGACACCTGCAATTACAAGAAAACTGTGAGAACTGTGAGGCTCAGGCCAGGCTGGACACTTTACACAGGTTTTTATCCAGAAATATATAGAAAACTAGACAGGAAATAATTGTTCAGTCAATGGCCATAGACTTCCCTCCCCAAAGCCACCGCAAAGGGTTAGAGCTTTTGCTGCAGAGTATATTTCTGAAGGTCTAATAAGTTATTCAACTACAATCCTTAATTCAAGAGGGAAAAATCTGTGCTGTCAAAAATACTTCTATCATACACTTGATAATCAGTGAAGTGATTTCAATTGTCCTAGAGTCTGTATCAGTAGGTAGATTTCCACTCAACTACATCTTTGTAAAGGAATTATGACTTTCAAAGATTAATGGCCTAATGGTTAGTCTTTCACAGCTAAATTTGGTGAAAACTACAACTTCATTTCTTTGTGTTGGGGGGGCATGTGCTGATTCTAGGGCTTGAACTCAGGTTGCAGGCACTGTTCCTTAAGCTTGCTCACTCAAGGCTGGCACTCTAACACTTGGACCACACCTCCACTTTCAGCTTTTTGCTTGTTAATTGGAGGTAAGAGTCTCATGGATTTTCCTGCCCAAGAAGCTGGCTTTGAACCTGTGTTTCCAGATTCCAGCCTTCTGTGGGTAGGATTTACAAGTAAGCCACTGGAGCTTGACTCTCTGGGAGAATTGAAGCAACCCAGACTTTGGGAAAGAGTGGGTAAGTCAAAGGACCTGATTAATTGGTTCTGATTTGCTTTCAAGAACATGTCAGAGGTTGGACACTTAATAACAAAGATAGTTTTCACCACCTTGCTGATTCAAAGTTCAGGAACAGACCTGTGCCCTCTGTTTGGCTTCCACTGAGTTTCCCCTAGTTACATCACAGTAGGGCCAAGAAAATGAAGGTGACAGCAGTCCTGAAGAAGTGCCTGTGTGTACTTTATATCAGCCTGTCTTGTGAGAACTAATGTGCGTGGCTGGCATTTACCATTTACCTGTCCTATCTCCTCATCTCCTTGTGACTTCAAGTTCTCACTTCAACAGTTCAACACGCTGTTAGGAAACTTCCAACACCACCATCCTTTGAGGAATACAGTCACACCATACCAAACCACAGGAGTCCCCAAAGCAATAGTAGAGGACACTCCATTGTTATGTTCTTCACTAGTGGAGTGAAAATTATAAAACCCTTCATCTAAAGAGGAACACTTCCTCCAGATAAAGTCTTCTTAAGTGTGTACTTTACAATCTGACACTTGCAATACTTTAATTCCTTCTTCAGATCTGTTGGTAAGATCCCATAGGATTTCTTCCTAACACTCCCGTACATTTAATGATTAGTTTTATTTTTATATGTGATATTAATTGAAAGGTTAAAAAATAGCCTATCACCAGTGGCTCATGTCTGCACTGCTAGCTACTCAGGAGGCTGAGATCTGAGGATCACAGTTAGCCTGGCAGGAATGTCTATGAGACTCTTATCTGCAGTTAACTACCAAAAAGCCAAAAGTATAGTTGTGACTCAAGTAGTAAGGTGATACATTTCAGCACAAAAGCTAAGAGACAGTGCCCAGACCCTGAATACAAATCAAAGACCCAGCATACACTGAGAGAGAGAGGAGGGGAGGGAGAGGAGGAGTGTTAGAGAGAGAGAGAGAGAGAGAGAGAGAGAGAGAGAGAGAGAGATGAAAGTACCAGAAAGGCTATCTTACCTCTACATGTTTAGTCTTGGATTCTTCATGCAATAAATCTAGAAGGACACAAAGTAATAGCTTACTGGAGGTAACTGGAGGCAACTTTGGGTGATATGGGAAAAGATTTATTTTACCTACTCTATAGGGCACACCCTAATAGTCGTAGTTGACTAACAACCACAGGTTATGCTCCTAGACTATCCCTCCAGAATGGTCCAAAGGAGGCAAAGGGAGGATGATGGAAATAGAACCCCTAAATCAGTGTGAAACACCTTACCTCTGATGGAGTAAACACTCAAATAAACCTTACGGCAGAATGACAAAACATTGTCACTTCTTCAGACCATTTTGATATTCAGTAACACCAACACTTCTCTCTTGGCATTTTTCAAGCTAGTTTTAATCAGAAACTGCTTCTGGTTGAAATTGGCTTGGTAAATGCCAAAATACACATATGCAAATCTGAACTTATTATAGAGGGTTTTGCTTTTGGTACTGTGGATCTTCACTAGTGTAATGGATATAATACTAGAAGGAAGATATAACCACATCTTATCCATTTGCCCTCTGTTATAAAAGTAATATATTATTTAAGAGAGAAAATTACTGACATTAGTATAGTTTAAAAATACTACTATACATGATAGCTTTATCCTTCTAGTCTTTCTTCCTCTGCTCTGCATGTGTCCATAGTCACTCTGTGAGGTACTGTTTATGTGCAAGCAAGCAAGTCAGCCAACCAACAGGGACCAGGGGTGTTTGGCCCCTGTGGAGCCTGAGGCTCTTTAACCCAGTGAGGGTGGCAATTCCACTGATAGGGCAAGACCTACAATTCAGGGGAACTCGGGTTCTTGTCAGAGGCAGCTGGTGAAGCTCACAGGGTGTCAGCACTTCTAGGGGCTATAATTACAAGAACATTAAGTATTGTTCATTTCTTGTTAGGTTTGTGCTGAGGAGTGAGCCAACACTGATAGAGTTTCTCTGTCCAATCAGTAACCATACTAAGATTATTGGGGCTTTGATAGTCTTTGCACCTAATTTCTTCACAAAATCTGTGTTGTCAATGCAGTAATATCTACAACTGACTGTGGAACTACTGGCACTGCCTTATAGAAAGTAAATAATATATACGATTTCTACAAGCTTGGAGAAAGTTATAGACTCTTTTGCA